ATTGTTATTAAGTTATAGGCTACTTTATATATTAAGCATCTTAACCTTTTATCGGAAATGTGTTGGGAAATACTTGCTTCAACTCAAGGGTTCCCCTCACCACCTTGTTTGTCCTGGTTAGTTTTATGTCAGCTTGATACAAGCCAGAGTCATCTGAGAGGAGGGAAATTCAATCGAGAAAAAATGCGTCTATAAGATCCAGCAGTAGTCGGTCGGTGGTGGTGCACGCCTTTATCCTAGCACTCGGGAGGCGGAGGCGGGCAGATCTATGTGAGTTCAAAACCAGCTTGGTCTACAAAGCTACCCTGCCTCTTAAAAAAAAAATCTAGCTGTAGTATTGGGAGATGTCACTCTGTAAAAATGTGTCTGATTGGTTTGAATAAAGCACTGTTGGCCAGTAGGGAAGCAAGGTAGGTAAGACTAGAAGTCGAGGAGGATTCTGGGAAAGAGAGACACAGGGAGACAATGTAGCCTGCCAGAGGAGTAAGAGGTCCAGACCCCTTTCTCCGGTAAGAGAAATACTTAGATTAACAATAATGGGTTAAATATTTAAGTCAGAGCTAGCCAGTAAGAAACAAGCAAACAGCCAACAGCTTCATAATTAATAGTGTCCTGTGTGTTGTTTAGGGACGGCAACTGTGGCAGGGCCCAGGCGGCTGACGGGGAAGACAACAAATTACACTGTAGTGCATTTTCTTAATTAGTGATTGATCAGAGAAAGCCCAGCCCATAGTGGGTGGTGCTATCCCTGGGTTGGTGGTCCTGGCTTCTATAAAAACAAGCAGGCTGAGCAAGCCAGTGAGCAGCACCCTCCACGGCCTCGACATCAGCTCCTGCCTCCAGGATCCTGCCCTGTTTGAGTTCCTGTGCTGACTTCCCTCAGGGATGGGCTGTGATGTGGAAGTATGAGCCAGCTAAGCCCTTTCCTCCCCAGCTTTCTTTGGTCATGGTGTTTAATCACAGCAACAGAAACCCTAAGATGCTTTTCATTCATTTCCATGCTGTAGCTGCCCACTGTGCCTGCCTTCCTCTTTAAATTTTTATGCTTGTTTCTTTATTTTTTTATTTTTTTAATGTATTATTAAGTGCACAGTGTTCTGTCTGCATGTCTGCCTGCAGGCCAGAAGAGGGCATCAGATCGCATTACAGATGGTTGTGAGCCACCATGTGTTTGCTGGGAATTGAACTCAGGTCCTCTGGAAGAGCAGCCAGTGCTCTTAACCTCTGAGCCATCTCTGCAGCCCATTGAATTTTTATGTTTGTTTCTGGTACAGGGTATCTAGCCCAGCCTGGCCTACAACTCCAAATATAGCCAAGAATGAACGTCAGATCTTCCTGTCTCTTGCTCCCAAGGGCTGGGACTTATGACGTGCCCTACCACTGCTGAGTCCAGTGAGTTTTGTTTTGTTCTGTTTTTTTTTTTTTTTTTTTTTTGGTTTTTCGAGACAGGGTTTCTCTGTGGCTTCGGAGGCTGTCCTGGAACTCGCTTGGTAGTCCAGGATGGTCTCGAACTCACAGAGATCCGCCTGCCTCTGCCTCCCAAGTGCTGGGATTAAAGGCGTGCGCCACCAACGCCCAGCTTGTTTTGTTTTTTTAAGATTTATTTATTTATCAAGTACACAGTATTCTGCCTGTATGTATGCCTGCAGGCCAGAAGAGGGCACCAGATCTCATTACAGGTGGTTGTGAGCCACCATGTGGTTGCTGGGAATTGAACTCAGGACCCCTGCAGGAGCAGCCAGTGCTCTTAACCTCTGAGCCATCTCTCCAGTCTCCTCCAGTGGGGTTTAATGCTGTTGTTTTCCCTTCTAAGTGCCTGGTAGCCAGAAGACATGAATTTTGAAGGACGCCCCTCCACTGGCAAAGTCCCTTTGTAACATGACCTCTGCCCCTCTCTCTCCATGAGTTAGGTCTGTCTTTTACAACAGCACGAGTCCCTGGGGGCGGGGTCATAAAGCAGGGAGACCTGGGTGGAGGGAATCACTAAATCCCCCCTCAAGAGGACTCCTCCCAGGAACCAACGCCAGCTACCTGCATGTCAAGAGTTACCGTGCAGCGCTGCACCCAGGGACGGTTCACCAGCTAAAGAGGACTTGCAGAAGACCCAAGCTGGGTTCCCAGCACCTACCTCGGGCGGCTCCCAAACACCCGTAACTCCAGCCCCAGGGTGTCTGACACCCTCTTCACCCTCTTCTCGCCACTCAGGACATCTGCATGCATGTACACACGGACATGTACACACATAAACTAAGCATAAAAGTAAAATCTTTCCTTAAAAAGAAAGGAGGAAGTCGGTAAAGGCAATTGAGCAGGTGGCGTGTCACCGGGGGGGGGGGACATTGTGATTTCCTTTATATTGCACGAGTATATGGACTCAAAATAGAAAGAAACAGAGCAGACTGTCACCCGGGACTCCACACTGGCCCTGGTTCCCTCTGTGGCAGCAGAGAGGACACAGCCTGCAGATCCCCCAAAGCAAAAGGCAGCTCTCGGAGCAACCCCCCCGGACTGGCTTGGACAATCATAGCGGAAGCACAGCCTGCTCCCCGGACAGCTCCAGCTCACTGCATTCCCAGAAGGCTTTGCTTCATTCCTACTCCATCCCCCACTGCCCAAGATGCCAAACGCTACCAGCTGTCCCAGGGCAGGAGGGGTGTTTGGTCTGTTACCCCCAAATGTCACTGCGGAAGCTCGCTTCAGTCAGCGCTGACTGACAGACTTCTCCTCACATCAGCCTTGGCTCTGGTACCAGGCATCCGAGACAAAGGGGCTCCAAGCCCCAGCTTCAGCTGGTATTGAAATCACAAGCTGCCACTTGCACAGCCCGAGACAGACACCGAAAATAATTTATTCACACAGAGAACGCTTCACTGCGATACATCCACACTGTAAAATTTGCAGGCAGCCACTAAAGGAAAACAGATATATGCTGAGAACTAACCAAGGGAGAGGATTCCAGTATGTGTGTGGGGGGAGGGTGACAAGATACGATGTGACTTCAAGGCAGCAAAGAGATCGCCATTCATTTGGGGGGCACTGATAATTTGCTCTTCTATACATTCCTATAGTTTCTGGGGGGTTTTATATATATTAATACATATTCCTTGGATAATGTGCAATTAAAAGTCTGTTTTAAAAACAAAGCAGAGGGAGCTGGAGAGATGGCTCAGTGGTTAAGAGCACTGGCTACTTTTCCAGAGGTCTCGGGTTCAGTCCCCAGCACCCACGTAAGGTGACTGACAACTGCGTGTAACTCCAGTTCCAGGGGATCTGACCTCTCTTTTGACCTCCCTGGGAACCAGGCATGCATGCGGTGCAGGTACCTACAAACATGCCCGCAAAAAACCGACACACATAAATAAATAAATATCTTTAAGTGGGGCGGGTGCTTTGATGACAATCCCATTCCAACCACACGGTAAGGGACACTCGAGTGAGGGGTACACTTTAACACTAAGAGAATTTTCCAGAACACTTCCAGACCCAGGTGAAGGTTTTAGACCTGACATCACAGCTCACTGGACAAAAGGGGACGTGTCTGGTTGTCCCTATCCTTGGGGCACCAAGCCCTTGCCTGTCCCAGATGGAGTATCTGGGCACAGTCAACAAGACAGATAGGCCCAGAACACGGACCAGAAAGGAAAAGGGACTGCTGGGTACCCACCCCCCACCCCCAAGCCTCGGCCTCAGTCTGGTACTGAGTCAAAGAACCCCAGTACCCCTGGGCTTCCCTTGCCTCCCCACCCAGAACATTCCAGGGGCGGGCGTCTGGGCAGCAGGCAAAGGCTGGACAGGCTCAATCCCAGCTGCATTCACTGCCTGAGCACCCACAACTATGAGACACCAATGTAATAGCACAAGCAGGAAGATAGAAAGTTCCGGCAATGTGATTTCTACACCATCAGCCCTCAGGCACCTCATCGGAATGGCCAAACCCAGCTCCAGCTTCTGACCCACAGAGTGTAGAAGGCACCTGACTTTGCACGGCCACCAAGTCCCCAGGCTGCTGCCAGTCAGGTACCCTGCTTTGAGAACCAGAAAGGAAAGCTTCTGAACTATAGGCAGGAGGTGGGCCCAGAGTCAGGGGGCCACCAGCCTCACCCCCCCAGCTGGGGCTGGCCATGGAGCCCACCCGGCTGGACAAACAGGGCAGATCAATGCCTCCCCGGCTCCCCCGCCCCACACACACCCTGCCCCACTTTGTGCATGGAGACAGAGCAGGGTGGCTTTCCAACATTGCCCTGGCTTTTGTTTCTCAGGGACGGCTGTGCCCAGGACGCAGCCACCTCCCAGGCGCCTCCTCCCTCTCCAAGCTCATTGGCATTCCCCTTGCTCACAAACACCTGGAGCTTCTGAGATTGCGTTCAGGTCCAGAACTGGGGGAGTTTATCACAGTTAAGTCGGTGGAGGTAGAAGGGGGGGTGTGGTGGGGGAGGCGGCGGGGATCAGCAAAGATTAGTGAATTATTCACACCTCTCCATCAGAGCACAGGCTCCCCTTCTCCTCAAGAACACTCGTCAACACCTTTCTATTTTTCCATCCATTTTGAAAGGAGGCAAGGGAAGGTGGGGGGGGTAGCATAATGTTTAATTAAGAAATTAAGCCACTCCTTTCCTAAATATTCAGCTCAGGACGGGGGAGGGGAAAGGCCAGGCCGGCCAGCCCAAGAAAATGGTTTTTATCACCAGGAAAAAAAAATCCGATGCCCAAAATAGCCCCATGGTTGCCCTAGCAACTAGGATATGCTCCCCCTCCCCCCTCCCGTCCGCCTTTGCATACGGCTGCATATTTCTATCGTCTCCCTTGCAGGCACAGTTCATAAACACGGCGGCATAATAAAGAACGTTATCGCCGATGACTTACGGCCCAGCTGCGCCCAGGCAGATAGCAAGCGGCGAGCCAATACAATTTCATGCAGCGAGGGCCACAGATAGATGGGGTGCCCTTCAAGTGCGATGCTACCTCTGTGAGTCTAGATTCGGAAATAAAGTTGGCCTCACCCTCCTCCCCATCCGCCGGAGACAAAGCAGGCCTGGCTGATGCCCGGGAGTCTCATTAGGGCCGGAACAAGCTCGCCCTGAGCCCTGGATTAGCCTGCCAGACTTCTGAGCTCCTCTCGGTCCCGAGCCTCCTCCTCCCGCCTCCGCCTTGTCAAAGGGCCCAGCCTGGGATGGATGAGGGTCTGTTTGAATTAATTATTCTCTCTTCAGGAGGATTATTTGTGAGGGGGGGTCCCCTTGGCTGCGATGGGGGTTGGGGCGGACTCCGCACACACCCAGCCAGGCTCCTCCAGCTGGGGGAGGCGTTAATTGCGGGGTCTCTCTCTGCTTTCTTCTATGTCTAACGCAAGGACTCAGGCAAGAGCCACTCTGTCCAACGGAGGTTTCTCTGAACGGGGGACAGTTGCCCCCTTGGCTTGCAAAACTTCTTCATAAGACTGCTTCCCTGGTCCTTGGTGCAGACCAGGCCAGAGGTTTGATTTGCAACTTTAAAAAAGCTGAGTCTGCGCATTGTGGAGGAAGGAACTGGTTCAGAAGAGCAAAGACTCCAGGTTCAGGATTCCTGGGGGCTTCTGGGACCCCGACAAAGAGGAAGGATCAAGAGTGATTTTAGCCACTTCCCCCTCTCCCCCTAGACAGGGTTTCTCTGTGGCTTTGGAGGCTGTCCTGGAACTATCTCTTGTAGACCAGGCTGGTCTCGAACTCACAGAGATCCACCTGCCTCTGCCTCCCGAGTGCTGGGATTAAAGGCGTGCGCCACCACCGCCCTTGCAGGATCCTGCTCAACCAGCCAGCCGCCCCACCCCACCCCACACCTGCAACGCAGTACACACGCACAGGACGATCAGCTCACCAGGTCCTGGGAGTCCCCTCGCTGCCCCCCTGCCACCACTCTAAAGGGGTCCTTCCAAGCCACAGCACAGCCAGGTCAGACGGCTGGAATGGGGTCTGTCTCTGGCTGCTCTCTGACTCCGGGGGCAGAGAGCCAGGTCAGGGAGTGGTTGGGGAGTAGAAGGGGCCTAGGGTAGAGTCAGGGGAGAGTGGGGCTAGGGACAGAGTGAGCAGGCACAGCAGGCTTGTCAGCACTACCTCCCGGACGCTGATGGTGAGGGCAGGTGCAGTAGTGGGGTCCTCAGCACCAGCCCAAAGTGGGATGAAGCCAGCCAGGGAGCTCCGAGGTGAGCCGGGGACAACGGGGGAGGGGGGGACCGGCTACTCCTGGAAGGCCCAAGGCTGCAGGCCGCTGTTAACCCCCTTTTCCCTCCGTGGGCCACATGGAAAGCCAGCCTAAGAGACTTTACCTGCTGGGGAATGAGCCAGACAAAACCTGTTGGCTCACAGCGGGAGCCTGGGCAGAAGGCTTCCTGGAGCACCCCCTGACAGATCTGACAGACCTGACAGACCGTCTGTACATGGGTCACTAGCGGCATACTTCTGGGTGGCAGGGCCTGGGCACTGGGGTGACAACGGGTGGGTGTCAGAAGCGAAAACTCAGCTTGTGTCACCTGGGTTTTAGTCTGTCCAGACAAATTCCCAAGGTGACTCAGCTAGGGTGCGGGGATGTTTTCTCTCCAACCTCTACTGCCGAGCCAGCGAAATCAAGAAGGAAAGGCATGCTTTATCCCTCGCCTCAGAACTCCCTGGCTCGCCCTCAGGGCCCTTGCCCAGGTCCCATGGAGTTTCAGATGCACGTGTGTATCCAGAGGCTAAAGCAGCATGGCGTAAGAATAGCCGTTTTAGCACTGGGGAAGCAGAGGCGGGCAGGTCTCCGAGAGCTCGAGGCCAGTCAGGGCTACGTGGCAAGACCCCGTCTCCAAACAACTTTTCTGAAAGTGGCAATCGGATGCCATTTAGTTCAGATCACAATATTAAGCAACGAGCACTTCTGCCTCGTTCTGGAACCTTCTCTTCTCCATGCTTGAGGACAGAGCTAAGGACATCTGCCACATTGAGGCCCGCTTTCTGCCACGGAGCTACACACCCAGACTGCTAAGGCTTGAATGCTGTGTCCCTCCCTCAGACGTCCATGTGTGAGCGGCTTGGTCCCCAGGGTGACATCGTTGTGGAGTTGAGCCTTTGTGGGAAGTCACCCGATCGCAGAACGTTCCAGAGGTCCATTTTCTGATGAGGTAGACTCGTGCTCTTAGGCCTCTGTTGAGGGTGCCAGGGAGAATGGTGGGAGCCTGTGAAACAAACTGCTTGTCTCATGGTTGGAAACACGGGGAAGGGACCTTCATGCCCTTCACAAAATTCTAGTCTTCTCCTCTGCTCTCCTAAAATGCAGAGAAGAGGCTGGCCATGGATCTGCAGATGTGGCTGGGTCAAACCTGCTGCTGCTCCAGAGCAGGGTTAGGAGAGAGGACCAGAGGACACCTCACCCGACCCACCCCCTGACCCCCACCTGTTTCTTCCATGTGAAAAGAAAGGTCATTCTGGGCTCAATGGGGGCACACCTGCAACTCTAGCACTTAGGACTGGAGGCAGGAGGACGGCTGTGAGTTCGATGCCAGCTTGGGCTGTACAAGTGCCAGGCTAGCTTGAGCTTCATAGAAAGACCCCGTCTCAAAACAAAACACCAAAAAAAAAAAAAAAGAAAGAAAGAAAGAAAGAAAGAAAGAAAGAAAGAAAGAAAGAAAAAAGCCAGTTGGGGAGGGGATGGTGTCACAGCAAAGGAAGTTCGTAACCCCGTGTTCTTGCCCAGAACAGAGCCTAGTAAGATCAACCAAGCACTCTGCAGTGGTGAGGGTCTTTGTAGGACAGGAAATTCACAGTTATTTCCTCTGCCTCTGGAACCTTCACTGGATGGACGGCATAAGCCCCACGGGCATCCACGGCTCAGGTCCCGTAATCTATGGGATCATTAAGGGGAAGGGAATAGTACTGAGAAATGACACCAAGACCTGTGGTGCCTTCCCTGCTCTCTTCTGTCATCTTAAGCCAAACCCCCGCTTCCTCTCTGTCATTCTCCAGGATGATGAACAGCCCTCCCTGCCCGGCAGCTTCCAGCCAGCTCGTCGGTCTGCTGAGCCCAGCTTTTGTGCCTTTGTCCTAAAAAAGAGGTTGCAGGCACAGGGGGTCTCCTCCACCTGTCTCCAGCGTAGTGAGACAGGCCAGATCCCCCATGTCAGACGAGAGAGTGAGGGCTGTGTCTCCAGGGCATAAAGACAGGGTGGTAAGTACAGGGGATGCCCAGCTACCGCCCTGGATTGAGATGTGCGTGGAAACGGGCACCGCTCCAGGTAGCCATTTGTTCTCTGCTAAAAACAAAGTCCTGTCACCCCAGGGTCCGAAGGCTGTGCACTCTCTTGGCATGTCCTTCCCTGCCACAGTAAAGACCCTGCCCTATGATGCCTGTGACACTGCCTTGATGAGGGGTGAGCATGGGGTCCCAAATATAGAATAAGCAATGCCCACTGCACATTCAGGGCTGAACTCTGGTGTCGGGGGTGGGGGGGGGGGGATGGGACTGGGACAGACCCTGCTATTTATTTATTTATTTATTTATTTATTATTTTTATGTCTGCTTGCCTATGTGTTCTGATTGCACCTCGGCCGACCACAGCAAATCTGTTGCCGTGATAAAAAAAAAAAAAACCACCTGATCAAAGTAGCTCCTTCCATCTGGGTGGGGAAGATCTTAGCTTGCTCACACTTGGAGGCCACCATCCTGTTGGGGTGGAGAGGTCACAGCTGGTTGCAGGAGCAGGAGGCAGCTGGTCCTGCTACATCTGAAGCCTGGGAAAAGTGAGGGACGAACTCAGGTGCTTGGGCTCACACTCCTTTTTATGCGTTTCTAGTCTCTAGCCCAAGGGATGGCATCACCCATGCTCAGGGCCGGGGACAGGGGTCTCCCAACCTCAATTTAGCCAATCTGGAAACTTCCTCGCAAACATGACCCCAAACACGCCCAGAGTCTTGTCTCCCAAGAGCTTCAAAATCCTGCCAAGCTGGCAGGCAATGTCACCCACCACAGACACCAGCGCAGAAGAAGCTGGAAATGAAGGAAAGTTCAGGGTCGCCGCCATGCACACCTCCAACGCGGGGCTGGGTTGCCTGGTAACGGGTGTGGCAAAGTCCAGCCCCAAGGACCTCATCCCTCTTCTACTTAAGACCCACAGGCATCTACCAGACCGATAGCACCGCCATCTCTACTGTGCGGTCAAGGATGCTGAGCCCCAAGCCATGCAAATCGCAAGTGTCTGTGTAGAGGCTTGAACCCAGAACTCCAGGACTTGGTGTCTTGAGCTTTCACACCCCTGTGGGCTTCAGAGTGAGGTGAGGAAACGTGGAAGAAAGAATGGGAGAGCGGGGTGGCTGTCCGAGGACGCAGTCCCGCTGTACAACGTGAGCACAGCAGCCTGAAGCATCTGCAAGTACTGTCTACCAGGGAGGGGAGGAATAGCTAGGACGCAGGCCAGCTTGAGAACCACAGCTCCTACCCTTCCTGGCATCAGCAAATGCATCCTGAACGTTCTCTGTCCTCTTTACCGTCAGAAACAGGGTCTCGTGTAGCCCGGGTCAGCCTCAAGCTCACTATGTAACCAAGAATGACGTTGAACATCTGATTCCCCTGCCTTCACCTCCCGAGTGCCGGGACTGCCCGAGCGTGCTACCGTGATGTGTGATGCTCGGGATGTACATGTCCCTCCTGAACCGCGAGCCCAAATAAACTCTTGCTTCTCTAAGTTGCTTTTGGTCATGGTGTTTTATCACAGCAACAGGAAAGTAATGAACCCAAGAGGGGCCAAAGATCAGCAAGGGAAAAGAGGCCATCAGAACCATGTGAGGTCTCAGAGCAAGGGCAGGGGACAGCCCTGCCTCCCGTTCCCAAGTCTGTATCTGGTGGTGGGGAGGGGAGAGCAGGGTCTCTGGAGGCAAACTTCAACTCTCTCCCAGAAGGAAATCTCTCTGTGGCAAGAAACAGGAAGCCTGGGGCTGGGGTTAGCTGCCAGAGCCGGGATCGTTCTCCTCTGCCCAGGAGGATGCTGGGCCAGGCCACCTCCCCAGAGCCACCTGCTAGATGTGACATGAAGGCTCAAGCTGCCAGCCGTGGCATATCTGCTGGCACCCTCCTCTGCCCCTCATCCGTTTTTAAAAATTATTTTATGTACATGAGTGTTTTGCTTAAATATATTTCTGTGGACCATGTGTGTGCCTGGTGCCTGTGGAA